ACCTCTTAGGTACTGTACGTCATTATAGTGACTTTCTCGAATGCTATTGTATTTCTCTGAACGATATGTTGGTATTTATATGATAAATCGGCTGCAGACGTAATAAAAGACAAAATTTATTATTATTCATGAATACACTATGTATCTTTAATAAAAATCTTCCTTTTCTCCCTATAACTTTCTTAACATCGTTATTAGAGGTCTTATAATACCATGAAATGTGTACATCAGTTAAGACTGCTCAGCTTTACGCATGTGCATGAAGTTTCCTGGAGCAGACAAATTCTTGTCATCTCCCATCACTGAGGTATCTCGGAGGCCTTGTCAGTCGCTATGGCTCCAATGGTATTAATTTCCACTCCACCGATGATCTTCGTAGAGCGAAGAACGGAGCTCCGAGTTGCAACTATAGTTGGCGTCATCGGCTGACCTGAAGGTGAAGCATCTTGGACAAAAGATCGTAAAAGAAAATGATTATATCTATCTTTTACACTTTTATTTCATCGATATTAAAAAAGCTAACGATATATTTAATTGCCTTTATATTCGCGTGTGCCTCCACTATTACATATGATACCGTGTACGGAGGACACAATTTCACACATATCCATAAAAGATTTAACTAATTTCTTTCTGCTCACATTTTGATAATTATAAATAATAATAGGGCAAGCCTACAACAGGTGATTCATATTTTGGAATTCGGAGCCACATTCACATCTGGGATTGTTTATCATTTTAATCTTATAGAGAGATAAGTTTGTATAAAATAAATAACAATAAATAAAGGGTAAAGTAAGAGTCAAACATGTTTCTTTAAAAAAATCACACAATTAAAAGAATAAATTACAAATAGAGAAAAGTAAAATTTTAAAAATATTAGGTTAAGTAAAAAGTCATCGCGTTTTTTTAAAAGACATCTATCAGTAAAAACCGCAATTACTTTCTTACCAACAATATAAATATATCTTGATAGAGTAAAGTTTCAGCTTTAAAAATCTCTTTTTTAAATTATACGATA